TAATTAGAGCATCATATCATTTCATATATATGTGATAACTGCAGGTAAAGATGATAAACAACAATCAAAATAAAACTGAAAATAAAAACAGATAAACAAGTATTGTACCAGATCAATATTTTACCAGTCTTCATTAAAAGCTACAGATAGACCAACCATGATGCATAAGTTAAACAAGAACCAAACTTCAAGTACATTGTTCATTTTTCTTTTTGTAAACTCCGCCAAAACAATGACTCAGTGCTGACAGGACAATAACTAACACTGTCAATAGCATTGACAAGAGAAAGGAGTGTGACTCAATGAAACTATCAACTAAAGTAACTGATAATAGTACTGGTATCCTAGCCACTAGCAGTAGAGCAGGGCTGATTCCGATCAAAAGTAGATTTTTTACAAATTATTAAAGTTGCTCAAAAATTGGGTCAAAGTTCCTGTACTGTAATACAGGGTCTTTGGCCAGATTTCGCCAAATATGACTAGATGAAATATCTTCATTTTTATAATTTTTCTGATGCATATACATGTTCTTATGTTGTGTAGCAAGTTTGGGCTGATTCCAATCAAATTTAGATTTTTTACAACTTTTTAAAGTTGTTAAAAAATCACGTTACGTAGTCTCTAATATCTATGGTGGCATCAATGCAAGCTATTAAAAAATTGTTATAATTTATTTTACTAGTTTTATAACATATATTCAGCCCCTTGATTGCTATAGCAGCACATTATCCCACCCTCATATCCCAAGCACTGTCTTCAGCACTGTTTTTTAAATTGAAAAATTTAAAATTTACAAATATCGTAACTCTTTACAATCATGGGAAGTACACTTTATTAGCAGGCAGGAAAAATATTATTATTAACATTGTTGGGCTATAGATTGATTTATTGTAGTACTTTATTTTTGTGCATTAACGAGGCTGACAAGAAAAAAAGGCCTGCTGCAAGGCAAGACACTTAATTTTAAAATATTTCACTATTAGAATTTCAGAAAAATTAATTTTCTGTTCCTTATTATTCAATGAATTTTAATTAGTCTGTGATCTATGAATATTAAATAAAGTATACAGACGTGAACGAAAATTTCACAAAAAACACGTGCCACACTGCCACGTGGTTTCAGTTTGGTTTGGTGATGGAAGCCTGTATCTGATGGAAGCATTGTTTGAGGTTTTATCTGCTCCTTCATCTCCCTCCTCTCCTCTTCCTCCGCCTTCTTCTAAACCTTCACCTGTTCCTCAATCCTCTCGCTCTAGTGAAGAAGGTAAGACAAGGCCTTCACTTAGTTCCTGGACTTTTTTTGGCTCGCCTCGTGCTCTGACTTAACACACTTTTTGGTCTCTTTGTCTTTGTATTTTAGATTTTCCGGTGCTCTGATGTTCTTCATTTGCTGGGAGGACTATCAAGCTATTGCACAATGGATTTGTGAAGCAGGGTCTGTTACAATGGTATGATAATGAGTAATTAATGTGAGGTGTGCTTTTAATGTCATATTTGCCTAATAATAATAATAATAATAATAATAATGCATTTGGGATTTTTAACAGTTCAAGGGGTTATCTACTGTTTTCCTTGTCGAATGAATAGGATTCTTTGTGTAACATTGATAATGTTGGTACATGTACATGTACAACTATGAGAATATCCTGTTTTTAACTTAAGTAATTTGGCTTGATTAATTCTTACACTGTACATGTAATGTATATTTCTTTATCCAGTCTTTTGACAGCAGACATTAAGGCTGGCTGAAGAAAGAATTTGAAGCCTTTCAAGGATCACCACCCCACCTCTGCTTGTTTATAGTTTATACTGTCAGTCTAGTTCAGTATAAACTTGTGGTCTAGGTAGACAATCCCTAACACCAAGGGCGTAGCTAGCATAAGGCTAGGGTAGGCTATAGCCTACCCTGAAGTTCAGAAGTCAGAATTGAAGTTTAGTAGTTTACCTATATTGAGTTTCTGCCTTAGTCACTTATGACCAAAGATTATAGAAGTTTAGGGTAGCTGTCTCAACTGGCAGTTACTCACTCAGTCACTTTTGACACAGGCAAACAGAAACAGGAGAAAGGAAAGAAAAACAGCCATTTTAGCACAATTATTATAATTTATTAAGGTGGAGTCTTTACATAATTAACTTAATTAATTAGCTAGCTTAATAAAATTATAAAAAGTTAACTTTAAGTGAAGCCATCACAATGTCAGCTGCAAAGAAACAAAAGCTTTGTGATTTTTTATGCAAATTTTAGTTGAGTATATTAGTAGTCAAACCCAGCCATATAGACTATTTGTACTGAAGATGAGCATGAGGAGATTGAAGATGATGATCTTGTGAATGATGATTTTGTTGATTGTGCTGCTACCTTGAGTCTTGCCTGAGTCCTCATCTGAGTCTGAGTGTGAAGCAGTTGCGAGAACCATGCACAGATATTAGAGTAAATGAAACTCCATATTGCGAGAACACGCCCATTTTGCGGGCGTAAAAAAGTGGGCGTGGCCAAATGGGCGGCGCGCTTCGCGCGCCCTAGGCCCTTTTCTGCTCATAGCCTACCCCTTCCTTTTTTTCTCCCTACGCCCTTGCCTAACACCACATTAGCAAATCTTCATGAAGAAGGGATTGAGGATTTATGTTTACTGCTAACAGTGCAAAGGGTTTAAAGGCTAGAGCCTCTTCACCCTTTAAAACAGAAGTGTCTTAGCCCAGCTAATTTTCTTTAAGTAAACTTAGCTGTAAAGTACGTGTAGCATGTTTTACTAAAATGTTTTATTTTCCATGGGCAGTAACTTGCAAAAATTGACTTCATATTGCATGTTGTATTGATGTCGTTATGCAATGTATACAGTTTAAGCTGTTTTCTTACTAAAGGATTTGATTTTTAATCATCTTTTAAATATGTTAATTTTAAAAAATACATGTACCTTGGGCTATAGAGTCTGTTGTAT